GTACTCACTTCACCTCTGAAGTGATGGCACATCTTTGGAAACTGTTGGGTGTGAAGGCCAATTTCCACATTAGCCATCGCCCCGAGTCTTCTGGCCAGGTCGAAAGGATGAACCGGACGGTTGTCGGCATCTTGAGGAAGTACGTGTCCTCTAATCACAGAGACTGAGAGGTGAAGCTTCCGTTGGTCCTCATGGCCATACAGGCCACCCCTCATGAGTCTACTGGTGTCTCCCTGTTTGAAATGATGACGGGTAGACAAATGACCCTGCCACTTCACCTGCTGTACCAGCCTGTTCAGTCCAAGGCCGATCCGGCTTACATGAGCGAACAGTATTTGCAGGACCTGAAGAACCATCTGCCTGCAGCGTTCTCATTTGCACAGACAAATCTGGAGAAATCAGCTGAGGGCAGGAAGGCTTATTATGATTAGAAGGCCTCACATTCTGAACTCAACATAGGTGATGAGGCCTGGTTCTACATTTTCGCTCCCAAAACTGGTAACACCAAGAACACCTCTGGGAAGCTGGCTAAGAAACTTTTGCCAAAGTGGTCAGGCCCATACCTGATAACTGATAAGCTCTCTCCAGTCGTGTATCAGATCAAGATTACCCAAACAAAAGAGGAGCCCGTCTACAAATGGGTCCACAGCAAGCCCCCACAATGCGGCTCAAAAATTGAGGCCAACCCGGAAATACCAAAAATTGCAGTTCCACCCTCATCCGCTGGGGGCTGGTGTCAGAAGCGAGCAAATCCTCATTGACTCCCATGTTAAAAATATCAATTTCACAGCAGAAATAAACATGTTTACAGCCTGGTACCAAAATATGTTTTTTGTTTAAATGATCTAGTTTACACTCATGACAATTCTGAGGGGGGTGAATTTTTTTCTCACTCTTCTGTTTAAGTGTATTAAAAGCCTAAAATTCTGTATAATTAATGAGCATCAGACCCACGTGACCACAGAGCTAGCTCCGTGGAAAGGCCTTAGTAGAGCCTCGGTCTGGCCTGGAAACTGTTCCAGGATTTTGAGTCTCTGTGTTTGTGTATTCTTTTTTGGATATTTTTTGTGCAATTGTTGGACAAAATGACTTGCTGTGGCATTAATTGCACTAATAGAGCGTCCAAGGAGTCTCCACTTCATTTTTTTCGGTAAGTAAAATGATATTTATGTATTTTAGGTCACTGCTGAGCTGAGCTTGGATTTTAACATGTACAGTTTAGCCTGAGTTACTGCTGGCCATGCGGACCAAGCTCTGTCACTGGTAATAGAGGAACATAACAGCACGCATCAAACTTGAACAAATACATACCAAAAAGATGTTTTATGCATTTAAATGTATTTAAATCAAATCTACACAACTATGTTTACAGTGCAAAGAAAAAATGCAAAAAGAGAGTTTAAATGGTTTGCTTGTAAAGCTTCACTACCGATGGGGTGAATTACCTGCCTGATGTTGGATGGAACATCCTGTCACTGAAGCAGCTGTTAAAGCCTCCACAGCATCATGCTGGGGGTGAAAAAGGTTGTCCAGATAGATTTCAATGTAGCATCACCCTCTCACTCACCTCCTTGGTTCAGAGAGCGGCCCGGGGAAGAATCGGCCCTCGTAACCAAGCCTAGTCCAGCCTGGTCAGAATAAGGGTCGTGAATGACTTATAGCTGCTGCTGCATAAGGTTTAGAATTTCAGTTTGGCTTATGTAGCCATTGGTGTGTCGTTCTAAGGCAGGGGTGGCAAAAATGCGGCCCGCGGGCCGAATCCGGCCCGCAAGCGGGTTAAATCCGGCCCGCGAGATGGTTGTGTAAACTTTATTTTCATACTTTACAATGTAGAGTGAAAATAAACTTATCTTTGTGAGCAAGTTTTCTCTGTAACAAGTATAAATAAAACAAAGCTGCGCTCAAGGCTCACACAAGAACTTGAATCACATCCTGAAGTTGGTCGCCACTCAGGATGTGACTTCTAATATTAATGTGCTGGTGAAAGCTAAAAGATGTAAAGTAAAATGAGTCAAATATACTTTAAGTGCTGCATGAAACTGATCTTGCCATGTGATCTGTAAGCTCTTGGAATCACTAAGGAATGTTTTTTTTATTTGATTTTTTTTTTTTTTCAAATTTTCAAGTAGTCTTCAGGTGTTGTACTTGTACCACACTGTCCTCAGGCTCCAGCCTTGTTTTATATTGATTGTATTAAAACAAAGAAAACAATCTGAAGTATATATATTTTTATAATTAAAGTTTTTATTATTTTCAGATTTTTTATAACATACTTTTTTTTAAGTTTTTTTTTTAAAGAGCAAGTAACGTCTAAATTAACTTTTTTTTGCTGATGAACTGTATAAATGAGTGTCTAATAGTGTTTTAAATGTGTGTATTCATTATTTTAGCATTTTGGTGCATTTTCTTTAAAAATTAATTTTTCAGCCTAAAAACCACAGTAATGCGCCACCTTCAGCTTAAAACACAGAATTTGACACATTTTGAATAAATTTTAGCCAATGGCTAAAGAGTAAGATACTACGTAAACCAGTAGAGTACTACGTAGCAGCTCTTGTGCCAAAGTTATAAAGCAACGAGAGTCTCGGCCACGCCCTGTGGCGAGTTGGGAGTTGGATTTGCAAGCGAGTGTAGGACGGTTAGCGGTAGTTCAGCATTAGCATATATCATTAGCATATTCTAGTCTTTAGCATAGCTTTTAGTGTTATACATACTTATTTAGTGTTAGCTTGGCTGTTAGATATTGTAGTTTAGTTAGTGTTTAGCTGTTAGTTTTATTAGGAAAGTAATTCAGGTTTAGTGTTACATATCGTTAGCATATATCATTAGCATATTCTAGTCTTTAGCATAGCTTTTAGTGTTATACATACTTATTTAGTGTTAGCTTGGCTGTTAGATATTGTAGTTTAGTTAGTGTTTAGCTGTTAGTTTTATTAGTAAAGTAATTCAGGTTTAGTGTTCCATATCGTGTTAGTATGGTTAAAAGGTGTAGTGTAGTTGGTTGTGGTGGCTCTGTGGGGTTGCACTCCTTTCCACTGGACTTAGAAATTAGGCGCCAGTGGTTGCGCGCAATCGGTGTACTGGAAAACAGTCAGCTCCCGCCTGGTGCTGTAGTCTGCAACCAGCATTTTACCCGCGATTCCTTCGCCAACATGATGGAGTTTGAACTGGGTTATTCTGCACGTCTCCGTTTGAAGAGGGAGGCCGTGCCCACCGTGGCTCTTCCACGAATTAGATGCAGACCAACGACTCTGCTCCCCCACCATGGCGGGCTCCAGTCTGAGGTGAGTAAGCTAAATAAAAGTTAGCATCTTCTAAAGACAATTTCCTACCTAAATGCAAAGTTTGAGAGACGTGGTTCACTCCATTTAGCTAATATCAGCCTGCACTGCCTTCGGGTTAATTTGTCAAGTTCACAAAATGTGGAACGGGATGAAAGGTTAGAATCAGCGGCGAATCGGAACATTTCTCAAAGCCCTGGCCGACAAAAAAGGTCCACTTGACTATTTCTGTCAGGCTCGGAGAAAATTCGGGTTGTTTTTGTGTCAGTCGGTAATTCAGCAACAGTGGCTCTAACGCAGCACTAGTTGACAGACATCATTACAGCGTGAAATCCAGCTTTACACCAAAGCCTAACCCGGTTCTGTGAGGAATTCTGTTCAGGAGGTCGCATTTCAGGTTCTTCACATCATATGTGACTGACTTTGACATTATAATAACGATCACACACTAGGAATGTTATAAAGCGCCTATATATATATATATATATATATATATATATATATATATATATATATATATATATATATATATATATATATATTGGACAGTTTCTTTTGTATATTATATGACTTTATAAACTCCAACAACAATGTGCTTCTATTTTTTGTTTCAGGCTAAATCTACCCAAGACGTTGGCTGTCAGACTGATTTAGTAATCTGCAAAAATGCACTTGTCCAGGCTCATGTAAAGCCTTATCGACGTAGCAAAGGTGAATTATTTTTAATAATCTTCTATGTAAACATTTTATTATTACCTTCTAGTTTTAATTTGTTTTACAGATTATTGTTACACGTGATTTTATGCTATTTTAAACATTTATAAATGTGCTGCTTCTTTGTATTTTACATAGCCACACAGTTTAGAGCTCCCAGCCGCAGTGTGTCTTGTGACACAGGTACCGTGACGGAAATTCATCTTCCACAAAGTCCCAGAGCTGCGTCCACACCCCTGAAAAGACCACGATATGAGGTGTCTGTTGTTGATCCCAGCTTCCACCTCAATGACAGTGCAAGCTCAGTGAACTGTTCAAGGTAAAAAAAAATTATAACATTTTAGAATTTTTTAGTTATGACCATATATATAAATGTATGTGTTCTATACAGCTCTTTCACTGAGGTCCATCCACAAAAGGACAAGAAGTACATTGTTCATGAGAAACAGTTGCTGGGGCTGTTCAGAAGGTGTCCCGTTTGTACCGGTCGTTGTGTTGTGAACACGACAACAGTCGGCACACTGCTCCGTGTGACACAACGGTGTTCATGCTGTGAGCACTACAATGAATGGTCCAGTCAGCCCATGGTGAACAGCATCCCAGCAGGAAACCTCCAGCTCTGTGCTGCTGTCCTTTTCACAGGCTCATCATTTAGCCAGATTTCTAAGGTATAGGCCAAAACTGTTTAGGTTAGTTTTGATAAGGTCTGTGCGTCTCTCATTTCATGTCGTAACTTTTCATATTTTAGTTCCTGGGTGCCTTCAATGTGCAGGGACTGTCCAAGCAGTCATTCTGTCGGCATCAGGCAAAGCTCTTAATTCCAACAGTGAGCTGGCAGTGGCAGCTAGAGCAAGCTGATATCATCCAGGAGGCTACTGAATCTGGACCTGTGACTCTTGGTGGTGACATGCGAGCTGATTCACATGGTGAATACGTTTAAATTGATTTATTTTATTCCTTTGCTATCAAATGTAAATTAAGTAATAACTTGCATTTCTAGAAGGACACTCAGCCAAATATGGCAGCTACACCATGATGGATCTCAAAAGAAACAAAGTTATTGATATCCAACTTGTACAGGTACAACATTACCTGATGATTCCAAAACATTTAATGGTTAATTATTCACAGATCAATGGAGAATTATGTTTATTTTCAGAGCAATGAAGTTGGGAATAGTGTGCGAATGGAGAAGGAGGGATTTGTGAGAAGTCTGAGCACACTTTTGGAGAGGGGGGTCGATGTGCAGCAAGTCGTGACTGACCGCCACACAGGAGTGCAGAAGTATTTGAGGGAGGAAAAAAAGGAAATCAGTCACTACTTTGACCCCTGGCACATGGGAAAAGGTAATCTTTGGGGATGTATATAGTGAATATTACAGGATTTTTTTTTCTATTTTAAATGTGGGTCTATTTGGCTCTCCAGGAATTGGTAAGAAAATCGAAGAGCTGGGGAAGAGAAAGACGACCCAGGATGTGAGACTGTGGAAGCAAAGTGTGGTGAACCACCTCTACTGGTCAGCATCCAGTTCCTCCTCAGGACAGGAGGCAGTAGCAAAGTGGACTTCAGTTGCCAACCACATCCAAAATGTGCACAGCCATGACAACGCCCTGTTCCCTAGCTGTCTGCATGCACCTCTGGATGGAGAACAGGCAAGACAGTGGCTCAAACCAAGTAAGTGTAGCATGTACTCATTACAGCTGAGCCTTTACTGTTTGGTTTATTTACATTTAAAACACGTCACCCCACAACAGAATATTTGTCTTCACCTCCTTCAACATGGAGAAATATTTTTTGAGCATGTGAGTAACAGACATCACATGTAGCTGCTAAGGTCACACACCACCATTTGGCCAACAGCAATTAATTACTAAGAATAAAATGCTGTGAGGAAATTTAAACACACGAGTGCGCCACACAACTCATGGTTTTAGGCAGAACAGCCATAATTGACATAATATGTACTAAAATGCCGTAAGTAATGACCACACCTGTCTACAGCACTATTAGTCACTCTTTCATACATTTGTCATCTAAAAATGTCAGCTATGGGTAACTTTTTCTCAATGGAAATAATAGCAACATTCTAAAGTTGATCAAATTGTAATTTTTGTAATTAACATTTTCTACGTAGGCACAGCATCATGTGAGAAGCTCACTGCCATTCTGTTAGCTCCACGGTTTGTGAAGGACGTAGAGAAGATAAGCCCTCAGCACCACACATCCACCTTGGAGGCTTTCCACAGTCTCATCATCAGATTTACTCCAAAAAGTCAAGTCTTCTCCTTCAAAGGAATGCTGTCTAGGTAATGAATACAACAAATGTTCAAATTAATGCCTCTAATTGTTCAAATTTTAGCATGAAATGTAGAATTTTGCCTCAAATCTACATGGTTTGTTTATTTGATTATTTCAGATTACAAATTGCTGCAATGCACTATAATGAAAATGCAGCACGCTCACATGCAGCAACAGCAACTGGTGAGCTGAGATATGCTGTAGTGTACCCAAAGTACAAACGTGGAGACTACACAGTGAGAGCCCTGAAGACCAATCCAACCTCATGTATGTCATATATTGTATGATAAAACCAAAATGATGGTCATGGAGAGCTATTGTAATACTGAAAACCCTTTTCCAGTATATGTGCACAAGCTTATGGACCTGCTGTTCGACTCTGTGGTGGTGGATCCTCTCCCATATCAGGAGTACTCGGACAAAATTACGGTTCCAGAACCGCTCTGTGCCCAGTTCCAAAGACCAGATAAACGGGATGCTGTGAGCAGGCACAGGTCCAGGTTTTAAAGTGCACGTCAGGTGAGCTACACAGGAGATTGTAATTATTAGTTAGTACTCTACTCTGTGTGGTTTCTCCTTTTCTCCTCCTCAGCCAGGCTGCACACCACTGTACGACAGAGGAGTTACCTGTCGTCATTATGGATCTTTATGCTCATCCACTCGTGACTCATGCTGTCCACCTCCCAGATGTCTATTGATCTCTACAACCTTTCTGCTCTGTGGCTCCCATACAACTTGAAAATCTTGGCCGTATGTAACATAGCAAAACTCACCAGTCTTGCTTTTGTAAGTCATACTAGTCATACTAATATTACTTTTTCCTTAGAGCCTCCTGATCTTGTAACAGAAAAACCTGTGCTCCCGGGATCCATCTCCACGTTTGTCATCACAGTGAAAGCTACCTCCAGTCTAAGGAACCTATGAAACATCACTGTTGGCCCAACCTCTCCTCACATGGCTCCAGAATCTCTGCTTGTGGTTTAGAGTTTTGTCAAAAATCTTGAAAGTTATGATCAGATTGTTATCTAACATTGTCTTAGTAGTAGCTATAATAAATGTTATCTTTAAAGCGCAATTGTGTCTTTTTAAATACAATTATATTGATATTTTGATGTGTATAAATACATATATCACATTTATTATCATTCATTTTTACCTAATTGAACCTGCTCTAGAATAGACTTCATTAATCACACAGGGTGTAAACTCACTTGTTACAGCAGCATTAATTAACCCCGAATTAGAACCTTACTGTTGTAAGAGCTCATTTGAAAGTATGTGGCTATATGTGTGTATATATAAATAATGTCAAAGTGTAAAGAAGTGCATTTACCGTTTTGTGATTTATGCAGCTTTTTATGGACAGGAATCAATACAGGAAATATATATTATAACATTTATTTAATCAAAAAAATATATATTAGTTCAGAGGAGGGAGGAATCCTTTGTATGCACCGTCTTCTGGGAACTCCTGCCTTCTTCTGGAGACAGCGCATGACGGGATCACAACACGAACGTGCTGTCCCAGGTAACCCCAACACCACCTGACCACATTCCGGTACGCCAGATGTCTGTAACAGCTGAGAAAGAGGTGGTATGAGTTATAAAGTATTCATAAAAAAAGTAATTTGACAGTTGTCTTACCTGTTGAGCGTAGTCTCCTGCATCTCCCCATAGAGTTGCAGAAAGGTGCCATAAACTGCCTGCAACACGTAGGGATTCAGAGCAACAGCCTCAAAACCAGGATGCTCTGTTATGCAGGAGGTTACACCCACCTGCTGACACCTGAGCATTACCTATGACAAAGAACAACTGATATCAGGTCTATAAGAGTTCAATATTAGTATGATGTTAGTGATTGTGTAACAAATGTGTACATTACAGAATGCTTTTCTCATGGTGGGGTACTTTTATTTTTATACCTTGGGCGTTTCTCTGCAGCACACATTTTCTCTGGCAGACAATGATGTGCAGTGGCCGCAGGTGCACCTGTCGAGGCAGTCATACAATATTACTTTTAGCTAAGCTAAATATAGCTAGCTGTGGCTAAAAGCTACTTACCACTCAGAGACTGGACCCATTCGATGCCTTGATACTCCTGCTGGCTCGACTCCAGGGGCCTCTGACAACTCACGAGCTAGTGGCTCAAAAAGATACGGTTCAGGACCGCTTGCTTCCCCCAATAAGCCCTCCTCCCTATCCTCTGGGGAAGAAGGTGGGGAAAAGTCCTCCACCTCGAATGACTGCTCTGAGCTAGTGTCGCTCTCCGTCGCCATCTGTATTCAAATTTCAGTATGTCAATCACGGCCGTAGCTCCGCCTTCTCGGTCTTACAGGAAACGCCTCTTTGGGCCACATTTTTCAAATATGAAATGTGGGTGGAGTAAGACTCTGAGGAGGCTGTTACCACTACTTTAATTTACCGGTCCGGCCCACTTGGGACTAGATTCCCCTCAATGTGGCCCTGAGCTAAAATGAGTTTGACACCCCTGTTCTAAGGTCAATGAACTGTGGCAGTTATCGTGATTTTGGTTGACAACAAAAGTGGAAGACGTCCATTTGAAAGTTTCATTAGGATTCAGTTTGTGAGATATTTGTAAGTAAAGTTTATTTCCATAAAAATCAAAAGATAATAAAATAATAACTAAATATCAAATGAATAAAGACAAAAAAAACTAAAGATTAAAAGTATTTGAAAAGAAAATAATATCAATTAAAAAATTCACACTTTAATAAAAATGATTATAAGTAAAAGCTGCTATTGTAAGGTGTCCAGACAGCAATACAACATAAAAATAAAGGAAGTGTATTCCAAAGTCAGAGTGCATCAGCCTGGAAGGAGCGATCACCTCGACTTTTATATCTGATCTTTGGAACTTCTAGAATGTTCTGGTGGGTGGACCTGAGCGCTCAGGTTGGAGTATAATGCTTCAGCAGTTCAGTGATATAGGGAGGAGCTTTACCACCAGTGTTGCCAGATGTACGATAATTAACGTATTTGTACCATAATTTTGGGCTCTGTACGATGTACGATCAATAGTTTCAAAAATCCTCAAATGTATGATAATTTCACATTGCATCTAGTAACACCGTCTTTTGCTGTGGCTTTCCCAAGTCAATTACATAATTTTAAACTGTTCTGAAGTCAGATTTCACCTCAGTGCTTACAGGTTTATGCTATTGTGTCTATTACAAAAACTGACTCTGGGTCTGTACAATAAATAGCCCAATCACATCGATAGGGCCTACTCTCGCGAGAAACTGTAAGGTTATATAATGTGGCAGTGTCCCGCCAGTTTTTGCTGTTTGCCCGCGAGCGCGCCGAGTTAAGTCTAATCTAGGATGACAGAGCGACGAGACAATGGCTTCTAATCTTAAAAGACATACCAGAGAAGGGACGGATGAAGGTAAAGCAAAGCAACACCGGATACAAGTTTATCGTTCTGCGTGGGAGTTGGACCCAATTTTCAAAGGATGGCTTGCACCTGTTAGGGGGAACGAAACCAAGGCTTTCTGTTGTTGCTGCAACATCCAGATGGTATCAGAAATCACCGTTCTCAAGAATCACGCAAAGGGAGCTACAAAGAAAGGGTAAACTGCATTGTGCCAAACCAGACATCTATACCTAAATGTCTCCAGCAAACTAATGAAAAAGAGAAGTTTGAAAATGATGTGAAAAACGCTGAAATCAAGCTATGTGGCTTTTTAGCCGAGCACAACATTGCAATGAGAAGCACAGACCACTTAGTACAGGTGATTAAAGGCATTCTGCTGCGACAGACAGTGAATCAGATGAGGAGATCGAGATCAGCAACTAGGTGAGTAGGCTGCTTTGTCATTTATTGGGTCAATTTTTCCACTACTGTGATGTTTTGTCGCATGCTTTTAACCTATGTAGAAATGAAATAAATAGGACTGCGCAAATGTGCATATTGTGTCAATGCGTGGAGGTCGGAGTGGTGCCGACACACTCTGCACGTTTATAAGCATTATATTACTGGTTTTAAAGATGTTTATTTAAACAGGGCAATATAAAACACCTTCTTTGTTATATTATATTGGAGTGAGAAGTCATTTATAGAACGTTATCAAATTTATAATGTACGAAAAATTGGACTGAAAAACGATAATTTAAGCCTCTCTGTACGATATTGTGGGATTTTGGATCTGGCAACACTGTTTACCACAGACTCAGTTAGAGCTCTTCTGTTTGCTCCAGTTTTAGCCTCGCTGCAGAATTCTGGACCAACTAAAGGGATTTTTTTTATTAAAACATGTGAAAAGTGTGTTACAGTAATCTAGACTGGATGAGATAAAGGCATGGATAACCATTTCAACTTCGTGTCTGGACACCAGAGGTGGAAAGAGTACTAAAATGTTGTACTTAAGTACAAGAATAATTGCTTTCATGAAATTTTACTCAATTATAAGTAAAATTACTTGCTTCAAAATGTACTCAAGTAAAAGTAAAAAGTAGCTTATTTCAAATGTGGTCAGAGTAAAAGTTACTTAGTTACTTTTTTGACTGCAAGGACGGGCTCTTCTGAATAGTTAAAAAAAGACAATGGGGTATAAATCTCAAAGTGGCCGTTTTTTTATTAAATGAACAAATATGCATATTGAAGTACAAAGGCAGTTACACTGCAAACTAGTAACATAAATTAGGTTATAGTCACAAGCCCATGACTTTTCCCTGAATGACCCCTCCCCCAGGCAGATCCTGATAGGCCTACCCAGTATCTGAGCCTCTCCAGTAGCAGGTGATGGTCAACAGTGTCAAAGGCTGCAGTCAGGTCCAACAGGACCAGAACAGAACAGTCCCCTGCATCACTGTGAGTCAGAAGGTCATTAGAGACCCTAAGACAGTGGTTCTTAACCTTGTTGGAGGCACCGAACCCCACCAGTTTCATATGCTCATTCACCGAACCCTTCTTTAGTAAAAAATAAAATGATTTTTTTTTACTGGTTTACGAAATGAATTGTGCATTAATATCACCTTGTTCAAATAACAAAACCAACACAGTGCATGAACTCAAAACAACTTACCTCAGTGTGACTTCTGCTGTTGCCTTTGAGAGACCAGTTCAGATATGCGTGGCTTCACCTTGGAAAGTGCCAGTCTCATGTCATTTTCACAGCAAAGTCTGTTCCTTTTCTTAGTTTTTATGTCCAGCATCCTCAAAAACGATTGCTCACAAAGATATGTTGTAACAAATGGTACAAAAAAATCCAGGGCCTTCTTAGCAATAACTGGATACTTTTCCATTTGTTGACACCAAAACGTTGAGAGCGTTGTTGTTCTGAAGAGTTGCTGTTGAACCTGGCTCTGCTGAAGTTCAATGATTTCGTCGAGGTATTCATCACTGACATCTGCTGTCTCAATAGCAAACGTGAACGGCTGTCTCACCCATGCTGGATATGATGGTCTTGTTGGGAAGTATCCATCGAGAGACTTCGCAAGCTCATCTAAGTGTGTGGCAATTGTTTGCTTCAGTTCCATGGGTACAGATATGTCTCCAAGTCCACACACATCTTCGATCTTACTTACACAGTCGTCCAGAAGGGGGAAGTTTGCGAAGTTGTTGTTCTCTGCTCGTCGTTTCCATAACGGTAACTTTTTTTGAAAAGCCTTCAGGTTTTCTTCTGCTTCCATTATGTTAACTCCACCACCCTGCATCTGCTGATTTAGATGATTGAGAGCTGCGAATATATCAGCCATGTATGCTAAAATGAGAATGAACTCAGAATCTTTGAAGCAATCTGCATGACAATGTTGGTGCTCTTGCAAAAACTGGGCTAATTCCACACGCATGGCAAAAAACACGATTCAGCACCTGTCCCCGGGATAACCACCGAACATTCGAATGGTAAAGAAGTACCTCGAATTCAGAGCCCATTTCTTTACACAGCTCACTGAAGATGCGGTGCCTCAGAGCACTATTGCGCACATAGTTCACACATTCCACTACAATTTTTAATACTTCTGCCATTTTGGGCGGCAAGGTTTTTGTTGCCAACGCATGCCTGTGCAGAATGCAATGCGGTGCGGTGCGTCGGCTTTTACTAGCGCGCCAAAACCAGACTTTCTTCCCAGCATCACTGGAGCTCCGTCCATACAAACTGCAGAAACCATATCCCATGAAAGGTTGTTGTCTCTGAAGAAGTCATCCACAAGCTTCTTCACATCAGCTGCCTTAGTTGTTGTTGTAAGAGGCTTACAAAATAAAAACTCTTCTTTTATCATGTCGTCTTTCACATAGCACACAAAAACGGCAAGCTGGCTTAGATTGGAAACGTCGGTGGTCTCGTCGAGTTGAAGGCTGAATTTTGCCGGGCTTGAAATCAGATCCGCGACTACTTGAGCCAAGATGTCTTTACTCATGCACTCTATTCTGTCGCTGATGGTGTCATTTGAAAGAGGAATTTGGGATAATTTACCCTCAGCCGCTGTTCCGAGTATCAGATTCGCCATCTTTAACGCAGCTGGTTTTACGAGTGTTTCGCCAATGGTGTGCGGTTTGCCCTGCTTTGCGATCAGATAAGCAACTTCATAAGATGCTGTGAGGATCGTTTGTTGATGGGTACGAATCCAAGAGCAGGCAGAGTGGCCTTTTCGTCGAATCTGGCTCTCTTCACCTTGAATTCAGCAAGCGTTGTGTTCTTGTATTCCCCATCTCCATGCAGCTTCAAGAAGTGTTCCTTCAGTTTTGCAGGTGCGAGACTAGAGTTGCTCAACTTGGCATTGCAAATCATGCAGATGGGACGCTGACTCCCGTCACGTTCCGTGATACATGTAAATCCATGTTTTACATATTCGTCCGACCACTTTCTTTTTTTGCCCGACATAGTTAGCATGGATTAAAATATTCCGTAAGATATCACACGACAAACCGACAGTCACACGTTTTGGCGGTTGGAGGTGGACGTGGGGTCGGCGTCACGCTAACCCAACGTCACTGACGCACACCGCTGGTCCCGACTGAGAAGGAGGTCTCACTCTGCTGCTTATCCAGCGCTCTCAAAGCGTACCTGTAGGGAGTCTCACTCAGACACATATACAGCCCATATACAGAGGTCGCACTCTGCTGCATAAACCAGCGACCTCAAAGCGGACCGGTAGGAAATATCCGAGCAGGACGCATTCAATGACTGTGCCCACTAACTGCAGACTAGACTGAGGGGTGGACCTCTGCGGCAGAGGCTCCACCGAACCCCTGAGACCGACTCACCGAACCCCTAGGGTTCGATCGAACCCAGGTTAAGAACTACTGCCCTAAGAAGAGCTGTTTCAGTAGAATGAGCTCTACGAAAACCTGACTGGAAGCTATCATAGATGTTATGTTCATCAAGAGCAGCTGTGAGTTGTTTAGCCACAACCTTTTCCAAGATCTTGGAAATGAACGGAAGTTTGGAGATGGGTCTGAAGCTGTTATGGAAAGAGGCGTCAAGACTCGGTTTTTTAAGAAGCGGGTGGATTACAGCATTATTAAAGTAAGCAGGGACCTGACCAGAGACCAGAGAAGCATTAATTATAGAGAGCACGCTGGGACCGATGGACTAAAAAGCACTTTTAAACAAAGATGAGTGTAGGATGTGATGACTGTTGCTTGACTTGCTCCGCCCCAGCCTCTGCCATCTGGTCAAGGTTTCTTCTCATATTGATCAAACCTGTTGAATGACAAATACATAACACATATTTAATATATCTGGCAATTAAGTTTTGATTAAGAAGATGCAACAAGAATTGTTTTTAGTAATACATGCCTTACAAATACTATAATTTGTGTCGACAGACTCGTATAATTGAACTTTAAGTATGTTGACAGGATTGAAATGAATAAGAAACAGATTAAGGTATGATATTAAATTACAAAAAATTACCTGCTTCAATGATATCGTGCCTCTCAGTCCAGGTGGTCTTGAACTTTGGAAGAAGGATTGCAGCAGCAGTCAGCTCAGGGTCTTCCATCATCTCACCAAAGTGCTTTTGGACACCATCCTGAATGGCTCTGAAGAGTGGCAGACACATCTTGGAGACAGTCTCCAGTCTGCTGAGTTTTTCTTTTAGCTGGAAGATCACTTGAGGGGCGGGACTAGGAAGCTCAAAAATGACCAATCAGAAAAAAGAAGGAAATCCCGACTGTACCACATGACACGGTACATTTCTAGTTGTAGTATAAAAAAAAACATCTGGCAATGGTGCAAACATCTTTTATTTTTTAGAAGAAATGCTTTTAGCACTTCTATGTGTGGTTTTAAAGACATCTGTGTCATTTAGAACAGAGGAAAGAGCCGCAGCGAACTCCGCCGCTGTCTTCGTTGTTTATGAGAAATTGAGCATCGCCGTGTATGACGTGAATTAAACAGGAGGAGTCTGGCAGGCCAGGCTATCTTTCTCGTACCATTAGTGCCTATTTTCTTCTCCTACCCATCATTCATTGCACTGTAAGGTCACTGAACACATGCTTAATAAACAGTAAAACTTCAGAGTAATTTTTGGGGGGGACATGAAAAAAAAATGCTCTCAAAATACAACACTCAGGGTTTCCCTTTCATAGGCATAGCCGTGGCAGGCTGCCACGGCTGAAATCCCACCGCCACGCCTACAAGATCCCAAGTTTTATTTATTTATTTTGCGCTGTTTCCCGAAGAAGCAGCGGGAACTACTATGTTGCTGCTTGTGATCACAGCCGCCAGGCAGCAAGGAGGAGCAGGCAGGGCAAGGTGAAGTTACAGCATAAGTTACTGAGTTTAAAATTAGAAAGGTAGCAGTGGATATAATGCATTTTGGTTTACATGTTTCAATAGCGTTAAGATAAACGAGTGTTGACGATCTTGACAGGGTTTCCTCCCCCCACCAGGCTAAGCATCACTCATTCATGTAAAATTTATTTATTTTTTAATGTCTGACTTTAACAACATCTAATACTGTATTACGGCGTGAGCGCAACAGCGACAACTTAAGATCGATGTGTGAGCAGCGTGAGAGGTCGGGTGTTTCATCTGAACCCTTAAAACCTCCAGCAGGCTACGTTGCACTATTGACGTTTTAGCGCGCAGCGCTAACAACTTAGCGACGTGACATGTCTCGGAGAAAGCGTAAAAACATGTTGGACGCTTCTTCTGAAGCGGGAAAATAACACTTCTTCTTAAGCAGAGCACGACGTCGCCTCGGCTCGTTCACCCTCTGCCGAGCCGGACTGAGCTTGATAACATTGACCCAGTGATTATTTTTTGTCACTTAACCCCAGCTGGTGCAATGAGTTGCTTCTCACTTCTTAACCGTGTGGAAAAACACATCTGGTTGTCATGGAAAGATGTGTGAGAAGGGTCAGATCATTGGCATCAAGCAGAAAAAAACATCTAAGGAAATTGTAGAAACGACTAAAACTGGGTTAAAAACTGTCCGACGCATTATTAAAAATGGTCTGAGTCCAGATGGACCCTGTACCAGGGTGATGGTGCATCAGGGTAAGAAGAGAGGCAGATGAGGTGATGCACCCATCATGCCTAGCGCCTACTGTACAAGCCTGTGGGGGCAGTGCTTTGATCTGGGGTTGCTGCAGTTGGTCAGTTCTAGGTTCAGCAACAGGATGTGCTCCATGAATAAGGTCAGCTGACTACCTGAATCTACTGAATGACCACGTTATTCCATGTTCCATGATGGCACAGGCATATTCCAAGATGACAATGTCAGGATTCATTGGGCTCACATAGTGAAAGAGTGGTTCAGGGAGCATGAGACATCATTTTCACACATGGATTGGCCACCACAGAGTCCAAACCTTAACCCCATTGAGAATCTCTGGGATGTGCTGTTGAAGGCTTTGTGCAGCGGTCAGACTCTACCATCATCAATCGGAACCCATCGGAGAAAGCGTAAAAACACGTTGGACGCTTCTTCTGAAGCGGGAAAATAACACTTCTTCTTAAGCAGAGCACGACGTCGCCTCGGCTCGTTCACGGCCGAGCCGGACTGAGCTCGATAACATTGACCCAGCACAGCCACTGGGTCGTTGGAGCTGCCCCGTGACTGCCTGATGGAAAACCAGCAGGTTTCATCAGACTCGTAAAGTTTCTTGTTTTTGCTGGGGAGCCCCTGTATTTTACCGCCCCCTCCTGCAGTCTTCCCCTATTAAAATTTAAAATGATTCTGTGAATTCCGTGTATCAATAGAAAAAATCTCTGCCTCCACCAGCTGCAGTAAATGTAGTTTCCAAATAATAAGTAAGAGGTGCATTCATCTGTGTATCTCCTTCGATCCGCATTAGTGATATTTTCAGCACCAGAACAGTGAAGCAAAGAAACAGATTCCTGAGTTTGTTAGTCATTTTATTTATTAGGTACATCTAACCTGTTCTATTTTTCTATGAAATGAGATCAAATCAGTGCTTCTATGGGTTGTTATTTAGAGACATGTCATAATTCCCCATAATTGGACATTGCCTAATGAAACCATTTAGAAACAATTTCATAGTTATTTCATTTCTTTCTTATAGATGTCTTTATCAAAATGCAAGTTTCTACTTACTTGACGTTCTGGAGCATTAAAAAACGACCTGATGTCTGCCGTTTTTCGGTTCTCTGCCATTTCAACTGAACTGGTCTGCTGACAGTTGGACAGCAACACACACACAGACGGGATATTGTCAGTTGAACGGAGCTGGAGGATATTGATCAACAATAATATCTTGCCAATTTTGTACATCTCCATAAGCATCCTTTCTTTTTGTTTTCATTTCATTAACAAGACTGTGGCCTAAAACGGAATAAGCAATTAAGAATAAAGATTTAAAAGTAGATTGTTAATAGTTGAAGTAAAATGTCCTGAAATGACATGGCTATTAGCTGACCAACAGCTACACGTGTGGACGGATGCAAAGCATTAATTTTAAGTACTAAAACATATCTAACTTTTTCACAACAAAGAGAGAGAACATAAATGTCAAATTAAAAGTTTATTAAATCACATAACATGAAAGCTACTAAAATCCAAATAGTTCCATATTGATTTTAATATATTTGAAATTTTCCTTCTAAATATGTCTAGAAAAAATAACAAACTTCAAATCAGCTTTCACAAGTCAAGTATCAAAATGACTGAAATCTCTTTAATAAATCATAGAAATGTTTGTAGGCTGTTAGAGAATAACTCTGTAATATTTAATAACTTTATCTAAGTCCTACTGAACAAAAAGATACACAAAATCTAAAAATATGTTCTTGAAATATTTGTTTCATTTTAATAATAAAAATTAAAAACATTTACTTTACAAATACACTAAACATATACATACTCTATAGTTTATCTTTCAGTTTAATCGATCGCTCACTTTTCTCAGTTTTCATAGTGTTTTTGGGTCTGTGTGGCCAACAGGATCTTTGGCTCTATGTTTTACACTGAGAGCTTTGAGCAACGTGCCTCCACCACACATTTGCTGCAACCAGTTCATCCCTAAGCTGCACGGTGCACCTGCACTTTGACATATTGTAAACAACTGCAGAGCCTGGGGAAGACGGGATAAGAGCGGTTAAACACTGTGGTTTTCCATACATCGGACCAGTTAGCTTTGATTTTACCATATTCATCAGCTAAATAGGATGAAACGCGAACATTTTCATCGATCTATAAATGCTCCGCAGATTCCAGGGGCAGATTGTGAAAGCGTACGTGTCCGGAAAAAGGCACTTTTGATCACCTTAGTGAATGGAATAATAATAGCGGAATAATCCTGGAATGACCAGAGAACATGAAGTGACAACTTTTTTTTACTGTGGTGGTGGTGGTCTGTCATAAAGGGATCTCCGACCGTTGATCAAAGTCTAAAGATAATCGGTGTCTATGTTTGACATTTATGACCGCATTTGACATACATATTTAAGTTTGTAGAACAAGCGTGTGATAAATGACTTACTGCTGGAAACCGCTGGCTTTTTGATTCCCGCCTCTCGTGAGCCTTCAGGCTTCTGTGAAGCTGTGAGCGAGGCAGAGCTGGCAGCCCTGCCCGTTGGAAACCGAGTGTGTGGACCGACCGTACCGACTTGAGGGATTTGGGGGGGGGACACTACAATTTCTCAACAATTAAAAACACATTGTTTTGTATTTGCAGACTAACTTTTACATTGTGGTTTTAGAAGAAAATACAGGTTTACTGATAGCATTTATGTGTTTACAATAACTTTTGTGGGGGGGACAACTTTGTGTGAGGGGGGGACGCGTCCCCCCCGCCCCCCCTGGGATCTCCGCCTATGAGTGTTTATACTCTCGTCTCTCTTCTCTGTGGTTATGTCTGAATCCAGTGCGAACCTTGCCGACACAGTATTATGCAATGCTGTTTTTTTTACTCGGTAACGGATAAGATGAAAATGTAGCGAAATACAATACTTACAAAAAACAGTACTTAAGTAAAAGTAAAATTACAGATTTTAAAAACTACTTAAAAAGTATAAATGCGCAAAAAATCTACTCAATTACAGTAACGCAAGTAAATGTAATTCGTTACTTTCCACCTCTGCTCACGAGCCACGTTTCATAAGACAGTTTTCACATGGCCCACCTCCCGGGACGCCTTTCTGTCCTTTTTCTCTGCACCCAGAGCCTTTCAGCTTCGATATCAGTTTCTGGACTGGACCATCGTGGGAGGAGAAGAAATTCTACGCAACAATCCGAGAGGCCAGCTTAGGGACGGTGGAGCAGGTTCAACTCATGGACACGTTCTCACATCCTGACCTGAGCCAGACCAGTTACTGTTACAGACTCACCTACCACTCACACACACACGCTCTGTCACACACACAAGCTCTGACGTTCCACAAACACCCGGAGCTTCTATTGTCCTCTCGACTGCAGGTCACCATCAGGTAGCACGTTGCAGAACGTCCTCGTCCTCGGAATGTTTGTGGCTGAAAGGAATCACGATCAGAATGAAACTGTAATCAAATATTCACAGTAGTTGAAATTATCTGTGAAACATCAATAATCCTGTATGTGTCTGAGTTTAATCTTATAATAAACGTATTAACCATTAATCTTTTGTTAATAAACCACAACATCAAAGTCACACTCAGTAGTTTAAAAACATACTGACACAGGTGAGTATTTTATTATAAACACATGTTTTAAAGCTGACGGTCCTGGTATTAAAGAGCTGTTTAGCAGCAGAGCTGCATTACTTCCATCTTCTGGAGTTTTGACCGCATCCAGTCTACTTATTGGTCCTTGTTTCATCAATAACTTTAAAAATAACCTCTGAAATTCAGAAATAAAACTCTAAACAAAATGCACAAAAATAAGCATTACCAAATAGAAATACTTTTGTATACATGTTTCTGTCTAAATTGATTTTTAATTGATTTATTTGTAATCAGCATTTGATTGAAGGGATTTATACGTAATTTTTCAGATCAACTGGGTAGAAACCATATGTCGATGGTTGAAACAAGCAAAC